CCTTCGCAGTGCAGCTTAGCAGCAAGTGACCCCCCACACCTCCCCTCTCCCCAAGGCTCCTGAGTGGAGGGGACCGGTGTGAAATGTGCTGTACCCTCATCCACCAGTAACCTTGGAGGAGCTCATCCCTTCCCCCTTTGACATTGTTTTCTCATCTGTGAGTGCTGAGAGAGCTGGTGCTCTCCTGGGCTTTTGGCAGGAAAAAGGATGAAGCTCATGGTCAGCCTCTGATCAGAGTCCCAATGGAGCCAACAGAGACTGTCCGGCCACAGAAGCTCACTGTGCCTGTGGGCTACTGTACCAGAGAATCCAACTGACAGACACTGAGGACCCTCATGCGGTACATGGTACAGCTTAAGGAATTCTTGTAATCCAGGTCCAAAGCATTTAGCAAGCAGCTCAGGCCCATGTGGAGAAGCCCACTTCAGCTTTTGAAAATTGAGCTGGGACGGAGCATGTGGCCCTCTCCCATTCTGTTTAGAGCCCCTCACTCTGGAAGTTCCTGTGAGGAATGCACACAGCCCCACCCACATTCAGAGCCTGTAGAGGTCAAAGGGGACATGTCCTGTGCACAGTCCATTTTCAACCAGGTACACCTGAATCCAGGAGAGCTAGTTAAGAAATAATCAAGACCAGGCCAGGGGCAGGTGACTCATGCCTATAATCCTAGATGCTCAGGAGGCTGAGATCTGAGGACCATGGTTTGGAGTCAGCCCAGGCAGGAAAGTCTACGAGACTCTTATCCCCAATTAACCATGAAAAAGCAGAAGTGGATGTTGTGGATCTAGTGGTAGAGCACTAGTCTTGAGTGAAAGCCAAGCAAAAGCTTGAGGCCTTGAGTTCAAGCCCCAGTATAGGTACAGAGGTGGGAAGGGGTGAATTTTTCCTTTCTCTTTTGCTCCAGCCAGCAAATGCCTCCACGTGCACATCAACAGCCCAGTTCTTCTGTGGTAGGCAGAGGTCCAGCTGCGGCTATCAGAGCCGGAGCCATGCAGGGATGCAAGCTGAGTCTTCTGGACCCTTGGGAGGAAAAAGCATGAAGCGTGTTACTAACGTACGACTAGCACATGCGCAGAGCGCACGGTGACCGGCACATGCACCCAGTGCGTAGTGAAGGCATGGAGGAGGATGCTCCCCGACTGGCGGGAGGCAAAGCTGTGGGTGAAGGGTGGCCAAGTTCTCAGTTTGCTCTCTTACTCTTTCATCCTCCAGAACCTTCTGTCTTCTGCCAAATTTGTACCTAATTTTGTCCTTTCCCACCTGACTGGTATCGACACAGTCCATCATGTTGGCAGAAAACTGGAAAGCAAGGTAAGAACAATCCTTACAGATACAGACTCTGGATTCTGAAGGCAAAGTTCAGGCTGGGCAAAAGACTACCGCTATTTAGGTTTAAAACCAGCCTGGGAAGCTGTTTCAGGGATTCCGCCATTTGCATTCTGTCTTCTGAAAAACACAGGATGAACAATTATTTACTATCAGAGGTCACTTAACTCCCCTTGAGCTTATACACTCAAGCTTAAGCTAAGGTTGCACTATAAAGTCAGGTTTTCAAGGACTGGGCATTGTCCTTTTATGCTCAATGTTGGTACTCTACCACTTGAACCATAGCTCCACTTCTGGCATTTTGGTAGTTAATTGGAAACAAGAGTCTCAGGGACTTTCCTGCCTGGGCTGACTTCAAACCTCAATCCTCAGAGCTTAGCTTCCTAAGAAACTAGGATTACAGGCATGAGCCACCAGTGCCTGGACAATCTTTGTTTAATTTGATTTCCAAAGTTTTTATTCACATAATGCTTAAGGATCCTTAAATGGTGTTTCAACTCTTTCCCAGGGTTCTGTGTGCTTGTATGGGTGTGCACATGTGTGCGTGCTTACCAACAGTGTCTGTGGCATCTTGATAGAGCTAACAATTACCTCCTGTGAGAGTCCACATCTTATGGGGCCCAAAGGCACTTATCATGTGCCGATTTAAACAGCGTCTACAAGGTCAGAGCAAGGAGTCATGACACCATAACAACCTGGAAGGGTGCCAGAGCCCTTGCCTTATTTCAACTTAAATATTTAATGGGAAGCAATCCTATATTTTATAGAATGGCATTTTGAAGTTTACAACTAAAGCCATTTAAGATGAAATAGGTCATTTGGTCTAGTTTGAACCTGTTAGGTACTCAACCTTAATGCTGGTCCTTGGCAATCAGCGTCTCCTTCTGGCCTAGAGGGGTTCATAGCCCAGCAAAATGCGAGCATGACACGGGCAATGCTACCTACTCAGGAGGCTGACATCTGAAAATCATGGTTCAAAGCCAGCCCAGGCAGGAAAGTTCATGAGACTTTTAACTACCAAAAAGCCTGAAGTAGTAGAAAAGATGTGCCTCTACTAGTAGAGTACCAGCTTCGAGTGAAAAGGTCAAAACTATAAACTTTGAGTTCAAATGCCCAAGGCTGGCATGAAAGAAAATGTATTTGCCCAACTTTGGATGACAACTCACCACCAGATTGGTTGTAGGCCCTGCAGCTGCTCCTTTGACTCCATTTTGTCCTGTGCCTGCAGGCAGCGGCTGGGTTTTAGCAGGTTAATGCCAAAAGGCACGGCTTGGAGAAAGATGAAAAGCCCCAGGGACAGGCCAGCAGTCAGGTAACTTTACCTGAACTGCACATGCTACTCGCAGCTGACATGAAAAGGTAAGGAAACCCTGCACTGTATTCTGCTTCACCCCCCAACAGCTCTTCCAGGTTACCAAGGTGAGGTTACATATGGGGAAACTGAGGCTCAGAGGTGAAGGAACTTGAGATAAACCAGGTGGCCCAAAGCTTTACAGCCAGAATCTGCAGCTGGTCTTTTTTACCCCCGACTTCCACCAGGCCCAGGGTCTCAGCCATCACTCCCATGATTAAAGCCCTTGCTGAGGATATGCCAAGGGCTCCCCTTGATTCTGACCTCACTACTGTTTGTTTACAGACTGAGCCATTACTCAACAGTAGCTAGAGTGTAGTGCTCTTCCCACACCCCCGGTGGAAGAGGACTCTTGCTGGGTGAACTCAAAGGTGCAGGGGTGCAGCCCCAATACTGAGCAGAGACCCAGCAAGACATTGAGAAGCTTTAGCTGCCACCACTGTGGGATTAGCACAGAGCTACTTCGAATTCTGTCTAATCAGATCCTATCTCTGAAGCGGTTAACCATTCAGGATCCTTTAGAGACTGCAGAAGGCAGACACTGAGATGGTTCTCTTAAAGGATGTGAGTCAAACCCCAACAGAGACACAAGGGAGGGGGCAGACCCAGGTAGAGGAGTCTCTGGTTCCCTACAGAACAGCCCTCATACCCTCTGTGACCCCAACCCCCTCTTAGGCTCCCCTCCCGCACCCCTTGGCTCAGCAGAGGGCTGGAGACCACACAGCAATGTGAAAAAAGCATCCACAGAAAATGTCCCCAAACGTTTGATTGTATAAATAATTTATTTTCTGTTCACAGCATCATATGTGTATTATAAAAGGAGATGGAAACAAAGGAGAGAATGTTCAAGACAGAAAATTACAGCCATAGATAGAAGGGAAAACCGAAGCCGGTGGACAGGGTCCCAACACCATCACAAGAGAATTCGTGAAGAGAATAATTCTAAGACAAACTAGGCCTCCCTGGGTCTATTAGAAAACATTTGAAAAGCTCACTTGGGGAGGCCAAATTCCTCTACACGTGTAACCCACTCAGCATCCACAGGGCGGGAGGCGTGGCGGATCACGGACAGCCAGAAAGGGGGCTCCCTTGAGGCCACTCCTTGGTGCTTCTCTGCCTCCCCTTATCAGAGATGAAATGGGCGTACAGAAATCAATGGAGACTCTTTCACTATTTGTTGATACAGCACAGGGCTTGACTTTACTGTACAATTACTAACGGTTAACTGTACCCTTTCAGTACTGGTAATAAGACAAAATCATCCCGCATCACTGTGAGGGCAGGACAGGGTCAGAGGTCATCAGCACGACAAGGTTACAGTATTTGGCATCTGCAATGTCACAAAATAAATATATTATTCTCTCCATAGTGTGGAACTACCAAAATGCAAAGTGCTTAAGAAATTGTCGCATGTGAAGAAAATAAAGAAGGATGAATTTTTTTTTTTAAATTTTAATAGTTCTATACAGAATCTTCAGACTATGGGACCAGCCCATTGAGAGGCCAGCGAATCTGCTGTCGCTGTGTAAACTGAGATCTTAGCAGGCTTTTCATTGCTTCTTGGCTCTATTTTCTCTACTGCGTTTATACAAAAAAAAAAACCAGCACTGGAGGGGTACCAAATACACCTACAAAGAGGAAAGGAGGATGGGGCTGTTAGATTGCTGCTTAAAAAAAAACAAAAAAAATAATAAAAACCCCAAAAAACAAAAACAAAAAACCTCTTCTAAGAATTGGGTTGTAAGCCAAGAATTCTGCATCTGGCTCTCAAATCCACTTCCGGAGTATAATGGACAATAGTATAGGTTTACGATGTGACTGACTCCAAGTTCCCTCGTGACTATGTCCAATTTCTATCAGCCTTCTTTGCAAAGAAGTGTGTAACCACCCATGTGTGTGTGTGGGGGGAGTGGGGGATCAAAACTCTACCTGGAAACATAGATGAAGACAGAGATTAAAAATCCAGCCATTGTAAATTTCCCTTGAATACTATGTTGTCAGGGTAAAATGACAGCTTCCACAAGCCAAGACTCAGTCCTGATTATAAAGGATATTTTTTTTAAATTACATTATTAAAAATATGTCTTTATTCTTCTTTCCCTTTCTCTATTTTTCCAAAGCCTCTTTCAAGTAAACTGAAGTGCCTGAGGACCGGGGGCCAGGGCCATGACGTCACAGGCTAACGGGGATCCAAGCACCCATTGTTGAGTCCCTTGGTTCTCCTGAGAGGTGCAGGCCGTCTCCGAGGCCAGTTCCCACAAGATGAATTCACAAGGAATTCATCCTGAAGCTTTTCCTTCGCTCTGAAATCCATGCAAGGAGGTCAACTTTTGCAACAAGGTGGGGTTTTATTTTTTGGCGCATGACATCGAATACTCTTAAGGAGACATTTAGAATGAAATACTGAAACCAGATAGGCCACGAGAAATCAAATTAGACATCTAAACACGTCGCCACTTGCAGTGTCAAGGGACAGAAAAGGCAAAGTCTTTTTTTTTTATCCTTAAGGTGAATATTTCTAAGGTGAGTATTCATTTATAAAAAGGTTTCTGTGTTTTTGTTAAACATGTCTGAAAATCCATCACCAGGAGGTTAGTATTACAAGAGATATCCCTTGCCAAAAAAGAAAAGAAAAAAAAAAAAGAGCCATCTTGCAATTCAGCACACATATCCGTAAGCTGGTGTGCTCACCCAAATCAATCAGTCAGCTGAGAACTTAAAACTGAACACATATGAGCCCGGGTTCTTAATGCTGATTATGCCATGGGGGGGGGGTGTACACCCCATACCCTTCCCCCAGCCCAGCCTCTGGCCCTTTGAACACCTTTAACCCTTCTGCAGTGGATCCGTCCTTTCCCACCACCTCCAAACAATTTATTTTTTTTGTTTCTTTTCATGTTTATTGGTCTCTTTGTCTAATTATGACCTACACATGGACAAGGTCCAAGCCCTCTGGAAGAGGTCTCATTCCAGGCTGTGAAGCGGTTCTCCCTAAAACCGCGTGTTCCCCGTAGCCACCCCAAAGCCCAGGCAAGGGAGCGTCTTGGTGGCCATTCCTAGCCCAGGCCGCCTGCCCGCTGCCCACGACCCCAGGCAGTCCTGAGAAGGCGCCAACCCAACCCAGACCTGGTTTGGGGTCCCCCGTCCCCCCCCAGCAGGACAAATTAAATTCCCCCCACAGGGACCCGCCCTGTGATTTAAAAGGATTCAGCTTCCACAGCCCCTGAAGGCAAAGAGCAAGTCACCCTCCCCCGCGTCCCCCGCCCCTCACGGCACCCCATGATGCCCCCGGAGGGGGTGCCCTCCCCAGGGAGCTGCGTACCTCCGGGCACTCGCAGGTGACCCCCCGTGGGGGCGGGGCAGCCCGAAGTTCTGGCCCTGCCGCTTTTGTTCCTGACGTCCAAAGCTTTCCACCTGGGGTGGGTGTGTTTGGGGGGGGGTCCTCTCCCCTCGAGGGGCGCACCGCAGGCTCCTCCCGCGCCCGCGTCCTCCGCAGACTGACCCCGCGCCCCCCTTGTCCGCAGGTCCAGGGTTCAGACAAAAGGTCCCCGCGAGCCGGTGGGGAGAGGGAGGGGGGGCCGGGCTGGCACATCAGCCCCCCCACACCCGGCTGGGGTCCCCCCACCCCACCCCTGTCCGGCCTCCGGGTGGAGATTCGAAGCGTCGCTTTGGTTCGTTGTCTTTGTTCGCGGGCGGCGGGGGGGGGCGGGGGTTCATCGCCAGCTCCTTCCATCCGTCCATCCGTCCGTCCATCCATCCACCCATTCATTCACTTTGGACTCCGGCCCCCCGCCCCCTCGGCCTGCGGACGCGGCCAGGCGCCGTTACCGCTTCTTCTTCTGCTTCAGGGACTTCCTGCGCTTCAGGATCATCTCGTAGAGCTTGTCCATGCCCTCGGTGAGGCCCTCGCCGATGATGGCGCACGCCGGCTGGACGTGATAGGTGGTGGCCGGGATGAGCTCGTGCAGCGCCAGCTGCTTCTCAATCTCCGCCACCGGCAGCGACTTGGGCAGGTCCTGCTTGTTGGCGATGACCAGCAGCGGCGTGCCCTGGTTCTCGGCGAACTTGGTCACCTTGTGCAGCTCGGTCTTGGCCTCCTCCAGCCGATCCACGTCCACGGAGTCCACCACGTAGATGATGCCGTCGGTGCAGCGGCTGTACGACTTCCACAGCGGCCGCAGCTTCTCCTGGCCGCCCACATCCCAGAAGTGGCAGCTGATGCCCTTGGCCGTGCCGTTGCTCAGCTTGATCTTCTCGGTGTTGAAGCCGATGGTGGGCACGGTGTTCACGAACTCGTTGAACTTGAGCCGGTAGAGCACCGTGGTCTTGCCGGCCGAGTCCAGGCCCAGCATGACGATGTGCAGGGACTGGAAGGCCGAGATGTTGGAGGAGATGTTGCCCATGGCTCCTCGCTGCGGCGCCGGCCACTGCGGCTGCGGGCGGCCGGGAGG